CAGCAGCCTTCATCTGACTAGGAAAATAACTTTAAAAATATTGCAATTTTTGTGCCAACTAAGCAAAGTTTTTATGATCAAAAAAATTTCGGCATTTCTGTAAATTGAGTCTTTTCCAGTTTTTCGTTACATGAAAAGTCTTGCCTGAACAATAATTGACCGTTTTGCAGAATGGTAACAGATTAGAATCAGTAGTTTCTACCAACTCTTCAACTCCAAATCTGAAAATTTAGGCTCTAAATTTGATAACTAAAGAATATTGCAGGTCTGCCAATTTCATGGTTTTTCAGGCTTTCAGAACTTTTCGTTCAACTTTTTTAAAGACTGCCTTCAGACGGTTTTTAAAAAAGTAGTTCTGCAGCAAACAGTTCCATAAAACATTAAAAAACTCAGAAAGAATCAAACTTTCTAGAACATTTCACTGCTTTTGATAGCAGTTGATTAACTAGGTGCCGCTTTAAAAAATTTGGGAAGAAATCGAGCTGTTAGTTTAACGGAAAGTCAGAACTGTTTTGAAAGCTGCAAAATATATTTTCTATGATTGGCGTCTAAGCGCTCGAACTGCCTGCAGTCGGTAACAGATTTAAGCAAGCTTTGTATAAACAGAAGTTAAACACGTTGATCCTTGCCTACACTACATTTCACTGTTTAACACTGCTGATTTTTATCCACCTTTTTGACGCCTTTAATTAATAATCTTGAAAATCACTTTTCGGCACAGCATCAAACTACTTCAAAACGACTTTTTGAGGTAATCTTTTCGACTATTTCCCAATCAAGAAATCAGTCGTTGATAAAAGGTTGATTCATTACAAGCAAAGATTAAAAAAAGAAGAATTTTTTTGTTGATTCTGGTTGCTAACAGTGACTAAATCTTAGCAACCGTAGCCGTCAAAATTTTATGTATTTCTTTTTGTCGTCGCAGAGCATTTTCCATGTTAATTTTTTTGACTCCGTTTGAAAGCTGACGAAAGATTTTTGTTTAACTAATATGTGTTATCTGCAAGCTACTTTTGCTATGATTTTCATTGTTTTATGTTAAATACTTCACCAAAAATTTATCTTGTTGAAATCAACAGTTTTAATTATTACTCTTACTTTTTGTTGGCTTCTTCTTCTTCTAAAATCAAGTTTTATCAAAACCATTTTTTGAAGAAAGAAAGTAAAATTATTTAAGCAATGAGCAGCTACTGATGTTCCAATATTCGTCTTCTTCTGTTTTTTTTTTTCACTTATTTGTGCAGTTTATTGTCTATTTTGTTTGCCCCACTGTATACCCTCTACTCGCTCATCAAACGTTAGAAGTAACGTAAACAAACGCATTTAATTCATGTCGTTTTTCTTTTCTGGTAATTAATCATTCTATTTTCTCTGCTGCAAATCTTTCGCTAAGATAAACTGTACGCAATGCACATTACCTGAAAACGATCTAAGCAGATGCCTCGAATAGTTCATTGATAGAAAAAAAAAACCTAAGCCGCCTTAAAAATTTAGATTTAAAATTGATTTCCTTGTACACTAAGTATTTTGTGACATCTTAACTCAGCTCGAGAGTAAGAACACTCTTAGTACCGAAGTTAGTACAGTGTATGGTGGGTAGTGCACTGCACATTAATGTTTCAACCTTCTATAAAGCACTCGGAGCTATCCAAATACAGGAGTTAACCCTGCCTATGTATTTGAAGCTTGTCACTATTAGGTCGTCATAAACTCGTTTTCCATTGTCCAATTATTTTGATTCAGTAAACAAGCTAGCGTTTTGTTACTAGTAAATTCAGCAGGCTTTTGGAAAGTTGAAAGAAGAAATCATCTTTTTCTCTTCCTTCCCTCTCCTTTCCAAAGAAATAAGAAAGTGAAAATACTGAACCGAAAGCGCGTCTCTGAAAACTTGGACTTCTATTGACCAGAAAGGCCGTAAAATTATGTCGCGATGGCATCAGTATCAAAGGGGCAACCTAGATCAAAAATTTGCCGGGCACAGCTACTTTATTACTGAAAAAACTGTCTTAAATTTTCAAGGAGAAATGCAAAGAAATGAAAAAAATAGTTTGTTACCAAAATTTACCTAGCAGAAGCATTGAACAAAGCACCTGCTTTCATGATTTTCTAAAAACAAAAGAAGTTTCAGTTTTGCGTACAGAACACAGCTTCTTTTGGCGCTTCAGAATAACTTATGACCCAGTTACGTGTTGTTTTTTCAAGCGGGTCAGTGTTTATTGTATAAGCCTACTGCAGTCCCAAAAAATTTTTTTTCCACCCAGGATATTCACTCCAAAACCAGCTTATGCTCATTGGAAAACTCTG